AGTAAACTAAGCTTTCTGACATTCCACAGAAAATTAAGTTGTTTAATTCAATATTAAAAAGTTATTCCGTTTTGAAATATGTTGGAATATTAATACAAATATTGAAAACATGCCAGTACTCTTTATGATTATATCTTACTGGTATAACATTCTTAGTGGAATTCATTAGATCTTCTGTATCAGCCACATTGTTCTGAGGATTGGATTTTCCTACATCGACGTTCACCGAAGGACTTAACGGATGTGCGGACTCTTTTTCAGTCATTTTCTCTATACCTATCAATGACTTAATTAGAAAGAAGCTTTTTATTTTGTATAATAATAAGCATGTACCTGGTGTATCTAATAAAGTCGCCTTCAAAGTTCCAGGCTCTGCTGGCTGTGCGGGATGCGAACCTTCCATCGCTGCTTCATTAACATTTTCGTTAGACGTGCTAGCAGGCACGTGTCTTCGTTGCCTCTTGCTAAGAGATTTGGCGATCGTATTACAGTCGCTCGGTAAGTTTGCCAGCGCGTGAAACACTTGTCTTTTGCGTATTATGGTATAAACTAAATTACTGTTTCCATCAAACTGATACTAATAAAACAAGTGAAATGTATTTAACTATTTTCAATCTCTCCAGGCTTTCGAATAGAGGATTAACGATTACCTGTATGATGTTGTTAAAAATTTCCAACAGGAAGAATACTAAATGATGGTTAGTAGGTGCCGAAAATAAGAACCACGGGGTACTGAATGCTTCGAGTAAGTGCAAAAGTTTAGTACTGGCCACCATTGACAAGGTTTTAAGGTATGGGGATACGTTCACCAGTATCGTTAATAAACAGTCGAATAATGGCTGCAGTCTTTGGTGTCCGGTTGTGATTATCTTGTGAAAAACGGTAACTAACAAATCGGCGTGCGTACCTACGGTTTATTGAACAATTAGACTTTAACTTTAAATTAGTAATTAGTTCTAAAAATGTTGGGTCGGGTCGGGACGAGAATTTCTCTCGGGATCGGGACGGGTTCTCAAGAATTTCGAGATTTTCTGAAAATACGGAAATTTTCAAGAAACCGTCCAGTTCCAATCATCGGACTCTCGATATTTTTGGGTAATTGCACGCTTCTACTTGAAATTGAATCGCTGTTACAATACCTGTGAAAACAGGAATGTCCATGGGTACTGTAGCTGTATACGGCTTATTCAATCTAACGCCGAAGTTCCGTTCCCCGCTTAATAAAAGTAAAATGAACACGCCGATATGCATCAATCCGACACGAGCTATGAGATCACGTTAAATTATTATACAAGGCAGAAATAGATTCTTCACAAGATTGTAGAATCGTAAAAGTACTAACATTGATCTGCACGTGAGTCATTCAAATGGTACAATATGGGTACCAATACTTCAAGTACGTCCGAATTTTTAAGTACATAGTATAAAAACTTTTTATTGTGGTCACACATCTTCCAGAAGAACACCAATAATTCTTGGTGAAAATGCACTTTCTTAGTCGAGTTCGGTAAATAAGTTTGCAACAGTGGATTATTTAACAATCTCGTGATTCCCTTTAGTACGAATTGAAAATCTGTAAACACATTCTGTATTCATTATTCTTTTAAGTGAGTAGTCATGTGACTGCTAAAATTCGCCGTAAATTTTTGACGTTCTTTGCTTCGTTTTACCGACAATCAGCTTTGAAAAAAAGTTAAATCTGGCATGCTATGGTTTTGATTAAACGAATAACAATTTTTTCTTCTTTTTAACATATTCTATAGTACACCAGATCCTGCTAACATCTCAAAGAAAATGAAGTTGAAAATGAATGTTACCTTCATCTCGATGAATACGACTTAAATAATTAATGAATAAATTATCTCCAACGCTTCCTTCTTCCAATGGAGCACCGCCACTTGTATCGTGATCTAGCGTTACTATTAGGATTTGCAGTGCAACATCGACCAGCGGTTCTAATGAATCGGTGAACAACAAGTGATTATATGGCACTCCAAGTCCGACAGGATCATATGCACAGACTGTATTTAATAACGATGTAAACATAGGCAAAGCATGTCTGTATAGAAACATAAAAATATTGTACGAAAAAGATTTTTAAAAGAAATGCATATCGACGTCTCCCGTTCATAAGATCTCACTAGAGCTATGTAACACAGGATATTTCCAAAAATATGGGCATAAATTTCATTTCCCCGTGAACATTAAAAATGGTTTATTTCACATAAAGATCCACAATCTTGCGATTATATAGCATAGGTCGAATGTTACGAATAGTAGTCGTCGATACGATCAGATTAGAGTTTACCTATTCTCAGAACTAGTTAAATGTTGGATCCATCTGTTTGGTGTAATTGAAAGATCCATAGGTGGATTATACATAGTTTCACTGAAGCAAGTGAGTAACAGCTTCAACAATTCTGTTCTATTTGAATCCAAGAGCGGATATCTAGGAGGCGAATGTGCGAATCCTACACCTGCTTCCCAGATATATTCACAACTATCTATAGATTGCAATTCCTCAGCTTTATCCTAGGTCATTCGAAATATATTGCATTAACATTTCGCTGTTGAAGGACTTATTTGAAACGAAATGAACAACACTTACAGGGCCTGATTTTCTGTTCGCAGCTACTGTAAAATCAGGACAAAACAGCAAATCCTATAATATAAACACAAATTACTATAATGCGATACGTTTGTTACCTTATTATTATACAATGAAGAGACAGTGTTTGTATGATAGTAAAAATCTCAGAAATGACTGAAGTATTTGAGACAAAATTTGAACTATTATTTACGACCTTTACTTCTTCATATAGTGATTTAAGGTGCAATAGGAGAAAACAAGTGGGCGAAGCCGTGACAGGGGATGGTAATACTTTATAAAACACTTGTTCTTACGCAGAGAGCATTAAGTAAAGAATGAGCCAATGGCACACTCTCCTCTTCTTCATTCCCAGGTAGACCAGACCAAAAGAATCCTTTCCAATCAGGATCCTCAAAAATATAAGGTAACAATCTCGTCAACAAGCGACAACAATTTAAAACAGTTTGTTGTTCTCTCTGTGTTCTACAGCTGTTATCAACAGCCTTCACTAATTTCTCCACTGCTTTATAACACAATGTGGCTAAATTAGAAGGTGCTTCTTCTCTCAATATACGAATTTCAGGCGCAGGGATTAAGGTAAATATATCTTGTACATTGGTTACATTTTCAGACCAAAACTGATCCCAGAAATTATCATCTGAGGCGTCGATCACCTATAATTAAAAGAACGCTGTGTTTAACCTAAGCGACGGATCTTCATTTCGTTGAACAATTTAGTGTTTACGACAAACATGAAATCTAATTCAGTTTTTATTACAAGAGAAAACCTAATAATTGATACATTTGATATTGTAAAAATTGTTTTTAATTCCGCTGAATGGAAACGTCAATATCATATGTTGCGAAATGAAACTATAAACAATAATTTTCACCTGCGTCTTCGATGTTAATTGAACTACCGCTTTTCGGAAGTTCAACTTTGTGTCAGCATTTCCCATGTTGTTCTAGTTTTTAGCCAATTTATAATGAAAAGCTAAGTTGTAAAATATAAAAATTACTTGTTTCCCTTTAAACCCGTATGATCACGGTCACCGCCATATTTACCTGCTAATAATAGTGCTGCCCACGATCTTACAGACAGAGACGGAATGGATTTCCTCTGTGACAGAGACAACCTCTGCTAATAGTGCTGCCATAATAATCCTTCTCATTCAAATGAAAAATAACACATTACTCAAAAGTTCTGGATATTTTTTATTTAAATTTGAATGCATCATTTATTAATTAATTATATTGGCTTAATGCAAGAGTTCATGTCTGATTTTTAGAGGTGGATATGATTTCACCTCATCATATTTCGGATTAGTTCGGATGGATGTTTGTCTTACAAGTCAAAAATTTTACTGTAAAATGTAAACGTTCATATCTTATTTCGAATCAGGCAAGAACTTTTGCACTAACACAATATATTCCTCTTATAAATGCAGTAATAGAAATGAACAATTATTTTGGGGCAATTCATTTATTCATTTCTTATATTTGCCTTGGATCCACACTCTGTACATTTTAAGTTGCTTCCCTCTATTAACTTGCAATCTTCTATCCACCAGATTTTGTTCTTCCGTGAAGCCACAGATTGTAAATAATGTCCTAACTTCCTCTGTAAGTTTTTTCAATTAATATAAGTAACACATGTAATGGATGCATTCAGTGGAGTCAATAATTGCACAACCATTGAACGCTCATACGTTTACGTTACAACTTTTTAACAAGTATAGTAGAACCGAATAAAACATGGCAATTAATCAGTAAACTGCGGATTTTATGCCTTTATAGAAAAACTGAATATGTGGAAAATATAAAGAATGTATGTAATGATTACCGTTGAGTTCTCGATACATTGAGCAACTATTGACTCCACTGAATGCACTCAATCAATAGTAGCTTATTAAACGAAATACCTTGTGTGAAAAAATATACTCTGGTTCCATCTCCACGAGCATAAAAATTTTCTGCAATACAGCTGCCCTTTTTAAATCGTAACTGGGCTAAATCGTATCTTCCATAATCGCGAAATAAAACTAAACCACCTGGTTTCAAATATTTGTGAACTTGCTGTATAACATGCTTCATTCTGTGCCAACAAAATGAATTCCAGTTATATACAGTATACTATATATAGTTTCCAACATAATCTCAGGTGTTTCATTTGAATCGACCCACTCGAATATCTTCGAAAATATTAATGATACATAAAAATGTTTTTGATAAAAGATAGATGATTTCAGGGAGGGACTTTCAAATGAATCATGACTGGATGCTGGTCATTAATATTTTCACAAATATTTGACTGGGTTGATTCACATGGTATAGATTTTGTACGTAACAAAATATACACGTACCTATTTGGGTGCACAGCTGAAAGCACAAATATTAACACAACAATATCCAAACTCTCCAATTTGAAAGGTGTTTCCCAGTTTTCTTTGGTTGCATCAAGTACAAATGCTTTGCACCTTTAAAACAAATACAAATATTATCTCAATCAATTTAACTTTTGTATGCTATTTGAATATGTTGTTTATACCTAGATGTATCATAAGCAGGATTCTGTTTCAATATATCTATCGCCTTTATAGAAAAATCACAGCAATATATAAACAGGTTTGGATCTGTGTTATACAAAAGTATCGGAAATATTGTGTTCCCTACACCACAGCCAATTTCCAGGATTTTGCTACCACCGTTGCTGGGTATATCAACAATTTTTATATGAGACTTTTGTTCATCGTTGTTTGGATTTTCACTTACAAATCTCAGAGGTTGTTCAACGTTTTGTTTCACAGTAGCAGGAGCTAGTTCTGGAAATTCTGTAAATAACCAATGTCTGTCCTTAAAAAATCTGCAACATTAAAAATTGAATATTTTTTTAGATGCACCATTCAAATTAATTGAGGCGGTGAAAGTTGTAATGGTAGAAGTCACTTTTCAGTCAAGTAGTCACTTGCATTAGTTTCTTCAATGAGAAATATAGATAGAAATCTGTTAAAATTAAGAGAAAGAAATGATTTGCATCTGATGATTCCACTAAATGCATCTACGTAATGTAGAATTGTTGTCCCATTTCATGAACTTGTACTTTTCCAAAAAGTGACATATTATACCCCTTAGATTATCAAGTCATCTGCATACTTGTTTTCGTGAATCCCATAAAACTTGTCCCAAAACTTGTCAGCTTTAGATTCATATTCTTCAATTTTCTCTTCTGACAAAATTATTGTTGAGTTTTCATTCACCTTCTGCTGAGCCAAATTTTGTTGCGCTTCGTCCCATTTAACATTGTCCCTTTAAATAATAATAATAATAATAATAATAACATATTGACTTAATGAAAATATAAATGTTTATATTTCATAGGTTAGGGTAGTGTAACCTCTTTATCAATTTATTTCCATTATTAAATACAATATGTACCATGCATTGTGTTGAAATATGTTGTCATTGTCAGAGAGAACTCTGTTACCAAATTGTGGCCTCTTATCGTTGAACTCATTCCGTTGTTCAGGTACAGCATCTTCCATCTTCGAATGTACATATGATCTATCAATCACATATTTTTGTTTCTGAACCTGCTATCCTATATAAATGGAGTGTGAACTCTTGTATAGGAAGTAACTGCAACAGCGATCTCATTGTCAGAGAAATACAAGACAAGTAGTTCTGATTTCATACGAGTAAGTTATGAGTAAGAACACGTCTTTCACCGTGTTTTGCAACAAATTCCATTTCCATAAGGGACTTTTCGTGCTTTGTACGAAATTTGATCGTTTTTTATATACAAGCTAATTTCTTCTCCAAAAATACCCGTTTTGTATCTGTTTCAGACTGATCTCTGTTTCACAGTTAACATTCCAGTTAGGATAAACCTTAGAGGAATAAGCTCAATGGGTCAATGTGTATCTTACAATCACACGATCTGTAGAATTATAAACAGATCTGAACACTCTATAAGTCACAAGACAGATCGTAAATGAAACCGAAAATTCAACATTATTGGCCTATACGAGAAATCCTCGCGCTATTCACGCTATTTACACTTTAAAGTGTGAAGCAGAGATTTACTGCAGATCGCTGCATTTATATATACAATGTATAAGACTCGCAGATCAACGACCTAGGAGACAGATATAAGTGGAGGGCACGTGGTATGCGGAAACAGGATGGGTGTGACAGTGTGACGCAGAGGGTGCAGGTTGAAAGTCGAGGGTGGTACGTTGCGTCATTGGATGCTTGACATCACAGGGACGAATCGTGGTTCCTCTAAAAATCAATATTATTTCGAAAAGAATAAAAAATATTTCGAATAACTTATTGACATTCAAGCGATTTGAGTTCAAATATTCTTTTACAGGGTTGCAGATTTTTTTAATCCCCGGATTAACAATTAACGATTACATTTCTCTAAATTAATAAACAATTATACTCTTTTTTAATTACGAATCAAAATTCAATCGTTAATTCGAATTTCTTCCAATTAAGCTAGTTAAACAATTCTCGTTCTTAATTTAGTTAAATCCGAATAAAAAATCAAAAGTTAATTGCCAATCGGTGTCCAGTTGAATTAAAGATTTACTCATTTATCTGCAATCTTGCTGCTTTTAGGTGAAAATATACGATCTCACGTGTAATAAAGTTAAATGTTATTATTAATATGATTTACAAAAATATTAATAAAAATACCGTTATTAATAGATAAATGTATAAAAATACGTAAATTAAATTTTAAGACAATTTGATCAATATATCACGAAATGTAAGTTTTGTATTTGAAAAACGTGCAGAGACATTTGAAAATAGGATTCAGGAAGGTGTATGGAGATTTTCTATCGCAATATATTGCTAAGGGTTACGCGGTTCTTCTTCCGTTACTGCATGGTGCTTCATGGCTCGTCGTGGGTGGCTCCCGCGATGTCCTAATCCCACCAAGTCCCTAGGGGTGAGATCGATACATCCATTTCCCTTTCCCTTATGTTTTCACAGGGGTTAGTAGTCATCGATTTTGGCCGACTCGAAAAAAACTTAAGAATAACGATATCGAACTTCTTTCGTCGCAACGAAAAAAGATAGTAAATCTACTTAAGTTTAGTTTTCAAGATAGTTAAATGTATTATTTTTGTTAGTCATCCTTACCATCCCATTCGGTCTAAGAATTTATAGTCTCTTTCTTACAGTCAAGACACTTACAAACTAGAAAATAATCTGTTAAATAATTTTCCACAAAATAGAAAACTGAAAATTCTCATGATCCTGGTATGCATTTAACAATACAGATATTCTGCTCTTGACGATCGTACGATATTTACATAGTAAAGAATTTGTAGGAAAAGGCAGGAGCGTAAATGAATACAAAAAGATTAATGAAAAACGCATACAAAAAACAAAACTGTTTAGGACATCAATTGTCCGGAAAATATATCCCAATTTTTATAGAAAATTTAAGGACAACGCGTTTAAATTTTGATGTACGATTATTGATTTATTGATTTATATACGTGCCATTTTGCTCCACACTCCTTCTCCATCTTTCATGCAACTTTGAAGAATCTATCCCTAAAAATAGCGCAAAATATGCATTTACACCATTCGTTTCTACGTACTTACTTCTTAGAGAATCAAGATAAAATTCAATCCAATAATAACTGAGATCTTCGAAGACTATTCGTCGAAGACAAAATGATTGTAATGACTTGCCACCATCAGAAAATGAAAATAAGATGAGGAAAGGGAAGAATAACAGCGAAGGAAGTGGGCCGCTTGGCTTTTTCTTTTCTTTTATTACATTTAATGCACACGTTAAAGTTTCTGCTAACGTCGAGTTTGCAGGAACGAAGGGTCTGCGCGTTGACAGGACAAGAATGAGAGAAATATAGGATACACATACAAATATGTATCCATGTACGAATAAGCGTACGTATCGAAGTGGAAAGGGATACAGAGAAAGGACGAGAGGGAGAGGAATGCAGGGAAAAAAGATGCGAGAGAAAAAGATAAAAATGGAGATGGGAAAAGTGGAAATGCGGAGATGGGACAGAGATCGAACGATCAGAGAAACAGGGGGTGAAAAGGAGAGACGGGGAGAGGAGGAAGAGAGCGAGAGTAGAGAACTCTGCGCGCCGCAGCGCTACGGGGTGGTTGCCCTCGTCTGCGCTTTGTGGGAAATGCTCGCTCAATAACGCGTAGGTCCTCGTCTGCCCCTTCTCACCCTCGGAGCCATCGCAGCAAGGGCCACTGCCCCAAAAGGCACGGCCACCCGTCGAACAACCCTTATCCTGTCTCTACCTCCCTCCCTCCCCCTAACCCGTAAGACACTCCACGGATCTTCCTCCTTCCTCGTCTCTTTCATCATCTTCGCATCTCGTGCGTCGAAAAAGATCGAATCAAGTCTGTACGTCTCGTACTCCGACTGTCTCGTATAGAAGAGACCGATATATGTCTTCCTGGCGATTAATCTTGCCTCCTGGATAAAGAGCAAACCCCTTTTGCCCAGCTGGAGATTATATATACTTGCCTTTTTACGTTCTTATCAATGGAGTGAATGTACATCTATATGGATACAAATGAGAGCTACATTAGTGTGACAACTTATTCTAATTCTAATAAAACAGGCATATTGTATGGATTTACTGAAAGACACAATAATTGGCAAATTACGTATTTTATAAATGTCGACTTACTGAGATCTTCGAAGACTATTCGTCGAAGACAAAATGATTGTAATGACTTGCCACCATCAGAAAATGAAAATAAGATGAGGAAAGGGAAGAATAACAGCGAAGGAAGTGGGCCGCTTGGCTTTTTCTTTTCTTTTATTACATTTAATGCACACGTTAAAGTTTCTGCTAACGTCGAGTTTGCAGGAACGAAGGGTCTGCGCGTTGACAGGACAAGAATGAGAGAAATATAGGATACACATACAAATATGTATCCATGTACGAATAAGCGTACGTATCGAAGTGGAAAGGGATACAGAGAAAGGACGAGAGGGAGAGGAATGCAGGGAAAAAAGATGCGAGAGAAAAAGATAAAAATGGAGATGGGAAAAGTGGAAATGCGGAGATGGGACAGAGATCGAACGATCAGAGAAACAGGGGGTGAAAAGGAGAGACGGGGAGAGGAGGAAGAGAGCGAGAGTAGAGAACTCTGCGCGCCGCAGCGCTACGGGGTGGTTGCCCTCGTCTGCGCTTTGTGGGAAATGCTCGCTCAATAACGCGTAGGTCCTCGTCTGCCCCTTCTCACCCTCGGAGCCATCGCAGCAAGGGCCACTGCCCCAAAAGGCACGGCCACCCGTCGAACAACCCTTATCCTGTCTCTACCTCCCTCCCTCCCCCTAACCCGTAAGACACTCCACGGATCTTCCTCCTTCCTCGTCTCTTTCATCATCTTCGCATCTCGTGCGTCGAAAAAGATCGAATCAAGTCTGTACGTCTCGTACTCCGACTGTCTCGTATAGAAGAGACCGATATATGTCTTCCTGGCGATTAATCTTGCCTCCTGGATAAAGAGCAAACCCCTTTTGCCCAGCTGGAGATTATATATACTTGCCTTTTTACGTTCTTATCAATGGAGTGAATGTACATCTATATGGATACAAATGAGAGCTACATTAGTGTGACAACTTATTCTAATTCTAATAAAACAGGCATATTGTATGGATTTACTGAAAGACACAATAATTGGCAAATTACGTATTTTATAAATGTCGACTAAAATAAAGATTGACGTTCCCTTTTAGAGATTTTGTAATTTCAATTTTTATATATTTATTTTTTATATAATTAGTAGATGTAGAAATGTTTAATTGGTACCTCTTTCGGTTTTAGCTTCTGAGGGAAAGTGGTCGATATCTAGCCAGTTCTGAGTTACCTCACCCTCATTCCGAGCATGGTGGAACCCCCAAAGATCGTTCGGGCAATGACCTCGAGATTATATATTGTGTATAGGGTGATACAGGGTTATTCCCCTTGAATTTCTCCGCGGTGCTATATTTTTTATCAATCGAACCCGTCTACGCAGAACGAAGGCAATCGAAAGCAAATAAAGAGATCAAAATATGTATATAATAATTTTTTAATGAGAAAGTTAATTCAATAGTAAAATATTAATTCAATTTGACATTAAAAAATATTGAACTATTATAAAAAATATCATTAAACATTTTTGAGTGTTGCACTACTGAGGAATGTAAAATAATTGGTCCTCTTAATGGATTTACTTCATTTAATTATTTGATGGCTCTTCTCACAAGGGTCAGTGTGCATAGGCTTTGCATAATAATTCGTCTTCAAAGAGAGTAAATTGACACTAGTTATATGTAGTTTTCGTGGCCGATGGCATTTGCAAGCTATGCTCGGTACCTACATCCACCACCTACCGGATCAATAAGTACTCTTCTTGTTTCATAGGAACTGCTTCCTTTTACACAATCTCTCCCTCGTCGTGATAACATCTGACATTTCGCCGCGGCAACGCATCCCGATGAAATCGAACGCGATGTCTCAAATGTCAAATTATGTGTTCACTTATTTTTAAGTTATTGATTTTGTCAAACGCACATATTCATTTCCGAGAAAGAAATTGACTGTACATTATTATTAAGCACGGCAGAACATAAAAGGCGGAGAGTTTATACTCTATTTTCCTCGCGTCTTTTATTCGGGAAGGTGTCGACTGCACTCGAAAGAAACTCGCCCCTTTTATTAAAGTGGTATTAATAGGAATGAACAGTTAGGGGATTGAAAGATCGATACGTTCATTACATGCCACTTTATCAATGGATGAATTCTGAGACGATGAAAAAAGGTCCGATGAAAGCGAGCACCGTCCGCACGTATTCCGGACGGAATAACTCTGATTCGAATTTTACAGCATGCGTGCAAATAGATGCGTAGATACCGACCGCTCGTATCTATTTATAACGGCGACGGATCGGGGGGGCAATTGACCGCGTGGCCTTGACTTCCTGTTGACCCGAGAGCACCTAGAGAATTTTGGCGTATCCGTTTGAAATTTCTTGACACGACTTGACACTCGTCTAATCATTTTGCGACATTTCAAAAAGAAGGCAAACTTATTTAGCGACCTACACGTCGAAGTGCATTGAATAACAGAGGCATAATATTATCTCATGTTCATTAGCAGACCCGATACATAAGATAAATGTCTCAATTCCTACTCGCTGGCTCATTCTTCTACAATTTAAAGATAAAATTATAAAAAAATACACCAGTGAGTAGAAATTGTGACGTGAACAGAAATTGGAACATTTACCTTAATGTCGATTTTTCAATCACTTCGACAGTCATTCGGTACACGGAGAAAATGGGATCGGAGACGACTCATGGATTTCTTTCTTCCCACGCGAAAATCGGGTGTATCGATTCTCCGCGAATAACTTTGTTTAGCTTACTCGGGGCTAAGTGCTTTTTTTCTGCAATCGGTAGGAAACCTGTTCGTACGAGCAACGGAATGTCTGAGTGGCTGCCGTCCTCTCATCTCCGTGCAATTCCGTGCGTAGTAGAACGAACCGGCCAGATGAAACCGTTCATTCTGCACGGGACATTTTTGTTTCAATCGCCCGCGAGACGCAGTCATTCAAATCGAGGATGAATAATGTTCGGATCTCGCGTTCATTTACAAATTTCAATTGCGTTATTTTTTCAACGCGTCAGTTAATAATAAACCAATATAAAAGAATGTAACAATTTCTTCGAAAAACGATTGTATAACGAAAGAACGTTAAATGTCCAGTGAGTAGAAATTGTGACGTGAACAGAAATTGGAACATTTACCTTAATGTCGATTTTTCAATCACTTCGACAGTCATTCGGTACACGGAGAAAATGGGATCGGAGACGACTCATGGATTTCTTTCTTCCCACGCGAAAATCGGGTGTATCGATTCTCCGCGAATAACTTTGTTTAGCTTACTCGGGGCTAAGTGCTTTTTTTCTGCAATCGGTAGGAAACCTGTTCGTACGAGCAACGGAATGTCTGAGTGGCTGCCGTCCTCTCATCTCCGTGCAATTCCGTGCGTAGTAGAACGAACCGGCCAGATGAAACCGTTCATTCTGCACGGGACATTTTTGTTTCAATCGCCCGCGAGACGCAGTCATTCAAATCGAGGATGAATAATGTTCGGATCTCGCGTTCATTTACAAATTTCAATTGCGTTATTTTTTCAACGCGTCAGTTAATAATAAACCAATATAAAAGAATGTAACAATTTCTTCGAAAAACGATTGTATAACGAAAGAACGTTAAATGACCGAATTATCTTGACAGGAGAACGACTATATCATCAAATATTCATTAGATGTTACGTATCAAGGTAAATGTATAAGATTAGAAAGAATATAGACGAGAAAGACAGAGAGAGAAAGAGAGAAGGGAGAACAGGGAGAGAGAGAGAGAGCACACTCGTAGGAGGTTGTGGAGGATGTCGAGAAATGAAGGCCAACGGCCTTGACCTTGTCCGTGACTTCGTCGTGAATAAGAAAGAAAGAGACGGACTGATACAAGAAAAGACATCGGTCAGAACAAAGTGGCCTGCTTTCTTGTTCGTCGAAGAGGCGATCCTACGATCAGCAGACAAGCAAATCCAGGTAAACGGCCAGCCGATGTTAATGAGTATGCAGTTGGTCCCTTGGTCGCTTCCACGGGACTCCTCGAGGCAATTTAAGGGGCAAGGGACTAGGAAATCTACAATGTTATCAGCTTGCCATTTGCTAGAATTATGACAGGAGGTATCAATCAGAAATTTCGTCCCGTATTCCACGGGGGCAATAAAAACGCATTCTGACCAGAAACTTGGGAAAACGGTATTTACGACGGTTTTGCTAAAATCCTAACGGAAACATAATTTATATTTTAAAAGATAATTTACAATTCATATTTATTTCTCAAAATTTCCACGAAAAGTATGCACACAAATCCGAAATAGAATCACTATTAATACATAGCTTTATGTGATCGTAGACGATTATAAGTTTAGTTAAGGATGTATTGGCTATATAGTCAATATC